AAAAAAAAATCCGCTACCCAACGCTACTACCTTCAATCTGGGCGTCAGTTTGTGTATCTGTTTCGTGATCATTTGTTTTTTCTCATTGGCAAGTAGGTGATCAGTCTTCTGTGCTTGACACACGCCGTCAACTTTTTGGGTCTAAGGCATGTCGGTCCTCACTTGGTTTTGGAGCGATTGATACAGGCGCACATAGAGAGAAAGTCCGTTGGTGCACAGCCATAGTTAGAACCTATGACCTCAGGGGTCAGACCTCTAATCACTGAAACTGCTAGACCAACACTGCTCTATGAATAAAACACACGACACCAAGTCGTTTATATAGTAATGAGTAGATATAGATTAGTAAACAAGAATAAAATATTTTATAAGGACTACGGAATATTTTTTCGAATCATTTTTGTAATGTTGAAGAGCTCGGGTTTACTAAATCACAAATCAATAAAGCAATTAGTAAAGTCGACAAGGGCGCAACGGGATAACGGGAGCTTACGTAAGTATAGTAGTCGTAATGAAAATTAACAACATAATTTAATCGTACCTTGATTGAAGATCTTAAATACCTTGTCCTAAGTTGCAAACTATTGAAAAATTTATTTTCTAAATAAAATTATAACAGTACTAAATTTATAACTTAATATTTCCGAAATGTTATTAAGAAATTTAGTGCAAATAGGTATAAAGATAGAGAAAACATTAACATTCATATTTTATATAAAGTAAAGCATAACGATGAAATGAGTGTATGCGGAAATGTCATTTACCTAGCCCTCGCAGAAAACAGGAAATTTGTATTCACTTAATGCATATTTTCTCTGATACACAAAGAGCCAGGTAAGCAAGCCACCTCGTATGTTTCACGAATTGAAGCTCATTTTTGATACAAATAGTTATACGCTCAAGAAACGTTTAAACAAGTTAAATTATTTATGTATAAATCTTCAATGTTGCGAATGAACGTGATACTATTTGAAGTATCGCAATGCAAGTACGTGCGAAAAGGGAACGTTTGAAACTCGTGTATATATCATTCAGTCAACCTGATAAATTTAAGTAGTTTATAAATTAATTATATAAAAATGAATTATTACATGGTTGCTCGTTGGTTCATGTGCATTTTAGTTTGTAAGACCTCAATAGTTCACTCAATATAAAACAATGTTTCGTTCTATAAGAAAAAATAAAACGAATGTGATTTAAGCCCGTAACATATTAGGATTATCAGGTGATTAGTGTGATACGGCTAACGATAAACTGTCAGTGGGGACAGCACCGGCACGTTTTGTTTTGAGTTCAGGCTGACGATTACTATGCATCATCCAGTACAGTTTTTGCTCAATACGTGAATACATGTGCCGTGTATTGTTAACGTTGTACGAGAGTTTGCTAAAGTTTAAATTTTTGACGTGTCTGCTATTAAAACTCGGACACGATGTAAGGGAATTGTTGGTGAGTGATTTTATTATTAGTTACTGCAATAAGGTTTCATATTATGTTGTTATTTAACTAGATGATGAAAATCGATACACTAATCTCTGAACGTGTATGTTTAAAAAATAATTACAAAGTTGAACGTTTACGCCAGATGTTTTTTAAATCGTTGTATATCTTTTAATTGGGGCTCCGCGTAAAGTACTTAAAGAAACATTACTTTTAAAAACTCCATTAGCTTAAGAATACATGTGATAATATAAGATCAACTCGGCATTGGTTTACCCGTTGGTCATTAGAGCATCATCAGCTGACATCCTACTTCGGAATCTCAGTAACTTTATAAGGAACTGAAGTTCATAAAGCTGATCAAATACTTAGTGAAAATTAGTACGCAACAATATGTCTGCTGGTATACCCGTATGTATCAATCTATTTAATATAATCCTTTAGTCAGTAATATTTTAAAATTTAAATACGGTGTATTTTATGAACGCGTTAGATTTAATAGTAAATACACAATTTACTGGAAAACGGAAGTACAGGAATCCGTGAATATGCAAGCTGAAAAATAGACAGTAGGTCGGGACAGTTTCTATTTAACTTAAATTAACTTAATTTCAGAGTACTCGTAGATACTAAGTTACGCTTGCAGCCATACATTTTTTATATTTATTTTAAACGGCTGCAGTTTTAAACTTTCAAGGCATAAATAAAGTAACTTACGTACTCTTTGATATGGGTTATATCCAAAATTACCTTTAAATATAAAACCATCTCACCTATACGAGTAGGATATCTACGTAATTTAAAGCATATAAGCTTATAGAAGAGCAGTCGGAGGCACATCATTATGTTACATTACAATAACAAATAACATCCCTAAATGAAATCCATAATATTAAGCATTACAATAGCAATCAACACAACTGTTTGGGCCTTGCCTTTGATTCTTGATTCTAACATCTGTTTCATTGATAACATTTCTATATGCTAGTCTAATAACCTAGATCAGCACTTTTTAAGTCTAAGATATGCCAGTATTCTTACAATGTTTTATTTACAGTACAGTGTCTACGAATAAATGTAAATTGCGCTATGGAACATGTTATGGTGTACCACGTATATTTTAGATCCGATCTACTGAGGTAGTACAACGTAAGTGCAATTAATAGCTGAATTACTAAATACCGTTAATCAAATCCCATTACACAGCACACTGTCTCTCAATTACAATACAATGGAGGAAATATACGGAAAACGGTGTTGAAATGCTTGTCACGAACTGCATTTAATTAATTGCACAAAAACATTATTATATCTATTCGAGATCTTTCATTCTTTGTATTCAAATGTATTTTTGTTAGATAAATTACTAAAATAATTAATTAATATTTTTAATAACGTGCTGTTCTCACTGTAATGTACTCGCGTACTCCTATTTCGTCTACTTCTGATCGAGGCATATTTTTTAATGTTTGTTAAATTCCATGTTGTGTGGAGCAAGGTGTCATGGTTGCAGCATCATCATTATTACTATTCAATTTTACAGTTTACTACAAAAAAAAAATACTTTGGCGGCGGAGAGTGTCTTTTAGTCCGTTCTACATCCTTGATTAATCAATAAATGTAAATTTTGTCTTTCTTTATTTTTTTAAAGTTCATAAGTATAAAATCAGTTAAAAA